CTCAACCTAGTCAAACCGAACCATTGTACTCTGAGATGAGGAAAACAAATGAGTTAAAATTGCATATCCAAGAGGAGGTCTCCCTTGGATTAGCCAACTAAATAGCTTAGCTACACATACTTAAGGTAAAGACAACAATGTGATGAGAAGACATTATAAAGAAATAAAGATTTGAGCTAAGTTAATGTAAGAGAACGTAGACTATAGGGAAGTGCATTTAATACCCATCTTAAAGCCTGGAAATGAAGAACTTGAAAGCATTAATGGTGAAAGCTAAAATGAGAGATTAAACTTGAAATGAACTTGCAGCGAATAGCATTAAAGACATTAAATAAAGCTTACCAAGTTCTTACAAGAGATTTAAAGACAATGTATGGAAGAAAATACAAAAATATTAACTTCTCTCTCTAGCATTTTTCATCTTCTACCTTGGACTCTCTCTCTCTATATATATATCATAATGTATATTGTATAATGATCCATAATGGTGTAAGAGCTTGCCAAAAACGTCCATGGAGCCATCCCCTAGCTGTGTGATGTGATCTCCATCAATAGGGGCTGAAAGGGATGGGTTGGTGCAGGCAAGTACAAGCATTGCCTGCACACCCATCATCTTCTCTCTCCTCTCTCCTCATTAATGCCCAAAGCTCCAAAAGTCCAATGTAGGTTGAGGAAGGGACGTCCAGTGTGTAATGAGTGTCAGGGACAAGTGGGAGAGTGCTTGGTGGGACCCCCAATGTTACAAGGCTTAAAATGCAAAATCTGAGCTGTTTAAGTAAAACCTACCAGTAGGTTGATGGAAACCTACCGGTAGGTTTCACTCCAGTGGGCAAAACCTATCTGTAGGTTTGGTGGTATGTGCAGGTCCAGTAGCTAAAACCTACCGGTAGGTTTTCTCTTGTCTTGCTGATTTCTTGTTTACTTCACCTTTTGAGCGATCGTCAAGCCATTCCTTCATCTTCATTTATCTTAATCACTATGAGAAGGCTTATCAAGCATCATTTATCACATTTTATCTACAAACATAGCGAAATTTCATAAATTGCACAAACGATGCATTTCCACTCATATTAACCACAAAAAGCTAGCACAAAAAAGGGATGCAAATGCACTTGAAAAATGCAATATTTTGTGCTAATCAAGAACCCGACCTAATTCAAAGGGAAAATTCAAGTCAGGGCCCTTAAGCACTTATATGGGGTCATGAACAAGCTTTTTCACTTTAATTTGACTACTTGGAGTGCGAAGAAAACCCCAAACCTTGAGAAGCTCGTCTTCCTCCACGCATTTATGATGGGAAAGCAGATGAATGTGGCCTAGATGATCTAGGACTTCATGAAGGAATTCGCCAAGGCTAGCAAGCCGAATTTGGAGCTATCGGGAAGTCCAGTAGCAACAAGAGGACATTAATGAGTGGGGGTGAGAAAGACAGAGCACCAAGACCTGAGCCATCCACTGTCAGGCCATCGTCCCCTGCTCCGCCCCCGTATAGTTTCTCAATGCTTGGATGCTATGTAGATTAGGATGGATGACCTAGGCGAGACTATGCATCGGCTATCTATGATGATGACGAGGATATACAATCACACCTTCCCAGGAGGGTTGATCCCTGATATGCCTCTGCCTCTTACTATTGGACCCTCCACCTCTGCCCCTATTGCCTCTACTATTGTTAAGGTGGCGGGCTCTAACGATGATGACGAGGGTAGTGAGTACGCGAGTGACGAGGAGGGGAATGGAGATGATGATGACGAGGAGTAGGATGTTTTGCTTTGTTTTACTTGTTTCAGTAGTTCCATAAATAGCAGTAGTGTTGATGAAATAGTAGAAAAATCTTTAGGATTTTAGGCCATTTGGGTTCTACTCATTGTATCTAACTTTTTGAAGTAATGAATGAAAGAACCATAGTTGTTTTTGTTCCATCGTGCCAAGTTCATTTATTTAATTGCATGGTGATTTTTGTATTTTGATTGTTCGATGAATTGCTTTGCATGAATGGATTGTTTTTTGTTTTAGTTTTATGCTTTATGTTTTGGAAATTATGTTTGCGAGGGACTAGCAAAACTCAAGTTGGGGGGTGTGATGAGCATAAAATATTGCACATCATTTGTCTCTTTGCACCTATTTTACACTTGCTTTTGTGGAGAAAATGGGAAAAATTACATTTAATCTTTCAATTAATGGAGTTTTGTGTGATTGTAGGTAATGAGTGGGTAATGACGTGTATTAAGCCTTCTATCAAGTGTTTAAAGACAATGAAGAAGGAATGGAGGCTTAACGGGTGGCTCCGGATAGCAAGAAATCAAGAAAAAGTCAAAACAGGTGAAAACCTATCGGTAGGTTTTGTGATGTTCTACCAGTAGGTTTTATACACTGAAAATCTTCTATTGTTGCCCCTGCCAAAACCTACCGGTAGGTTTTGCTGATGTTCTACTAATAATTTTTGCCCAGAAACGTCAGAAAGTTGCAATCTCAACTCTAATTGCTTTGTGGGCCCACCTCTGCTTCTCCCACACATCTCCTGACATATTCTATATACAAGCATGCCTCTCTACACCTAGAATCTGACTTTGGAAGAAAGAGCATGAAAGAGGAAGATAGAGAAAAAGGGAGGCATGGTGGGGTTGCAGGCATGGCCTGTCCTTGCCTGTGTAAGTGTCCAACCCCTTCCCCATGCTAGGAAGTTAGCTCACATAGACCCTAGGGGGGTGATGGACGGAAATGAAGCATTCTTACACCATTATTAAGCTACAAAAGCTTTTAGAGAGAGAAGATCTTAAACAAGAAGATGAAGTTCTAGAGAAAAAGTTAGGATTTTGCATTTCCTTCTCTATTTCAGTTGTAGTAAGCTTTAAATCACTTGTAATCTTTACTTCTTGCACTTTAATCTCCTTTATTTCAAGTGTATTCAAGTTTAACTACATATTCTTGTGTTTTCAAGTTTTACATTTGGGTATTGGTTTTCAATCTTTGTATTTTGACTATGAATGTCATTTCTCTTGTAGTTTAACTCTTTTCTTGCATTAATACAAGCTCCATGTTTCATTTCTTCATTATGTCTCTTTATATTATGAACGTTTTTGCTTTAACTATGGATAGCTAAGTTTTTAGTTGGCTAATCCAAGGAAGATTTCCTCTTGGGTATGCTAAATCAACTCTCTNTTGTAGTTTAACTCTTTTCTTGCATTAATACAAGCTCCATGTTTCATTTCTTCATTCTGTCTCTTTATATTATGAACGNCTCTTGTAGTTTAACTCTTTTCTTGCATTAATACAAGCTCCATGTTTCATTTCTTCATTATGTCTCTTTATATTATGAACGTTTTTGCTTTAACTATGGATAGCTAAGTTTTTAGTTGGCTAATCCAAGGAAGATTTCCTCTTGGGTATGCTAAATCAACTCTCTGTCATTCCTTCCCCATAGTGTAAGGTGTTTGATTTGACTAGATTGACTGCGGACGTGATTGTGAGCTCTTGATACACCGTAGACTTGTAACGGGGTATGATTGAACTTACGCCTCCACATTAGTCTCTCACTTCCTACAAATCAATCAAACACCGATATACCATTGATAAAATGTTTTGAGTTGATTTGGTATTCCCATTGAAATGACCTATTCGGATTAGTCAACCTTGTTTACATTGCATTTTTATCAAAAACTCTACTCACCAAAACAGACAACTACAAGATTTTACACTTTTTCATTTCTTTACAAAATCACCTTCACCACAAATTCAACCTTCCTTCCTTGAGGAGACGACCTTGGAATACCCATTCCAACTAAAACACGACACTTGCCAGTTTCTCTTTGCTTAGGGAGCACGTTTGCACACACACACACACACATTTTCTTTCACACACACGTTTTTCCCATTCTAGCATTGAACCCGAGAGAGAGTGACACTCACCTACACACAAAAGTCATATACACATTCGAGGGTTCGTGTTTGGAGATTAGGGTGAAATGCAAAAAGCAAGCATACAACTCCCATGGACAATCAAGCTCCACTTCATGACACCAGCCCAAAATTGCTTACTCAGATTCGATATCGCGATTCCATATTTGAATTGATGAAGAATTAGTTCAGGTTTTTGATTCCATATTTGAAAAAATTCTCTATGGATCTCTGTTTGTCTCCCTCCTAATTCCCTTAATTTTGCTTGGGCACATGATAATTTATGGTTTTGGGTTTCATGGGGCGCAGTGGAGAAGGAGGGGAGGTGGTGTGTTATGAACTGGGGTGGGCCAACTATTGGGGGAGAAATTTGCTTGAGCCAATTGTTGAGGAGATGAACAAGTTTTAGGCCGTGGAAGGCTTGATGGAGTGGTGGCAACTGTGTGGGGATTTACAGGGGCAATTGATGTTAGGTTTTTGTGAGTCATTTGAGAGAGAAGGAAAGAGAATGGAGATGGATATCAGAGAGACAGAGAGGACAATGGTGGTGCTAGATATTAGCAGTGACAGATGGATAGAAGCAGAGAGACACATGTAGAGATAGGGGTGGTCACCGATTGTTAGGGATGACCGCCACCATGCCGCCTCCACCTTTCTAACAGTAGGGTTTTGTGTTGTTTAGAGAGAGAGAGGAGTTGGGTGTTGTGTATTGAGTGAGAGAGAAAAACAGCAACAAGAATTGACGAGGAAGAAGAAGTATGTTTGATTACATGTTTAATGTTTTCTAAACTTGGAATAAAGATGTTTTGATATATGAGTGTGTTGGATAATGACATAATTACCCTTAATAGTAGTTGTGTGCCTAACATTTGCTAGTTTTTTGTCATTTTTTTGAACAAAAGTTAGAAGTAAGGATCAAAGTGAATTAATTAGTTACCATGAAAGATAAAATTGACAAAATTAAAATTTTATGGATAAAAGTGTAACAAGTGGCAAACCTTATAAACTAAGGGTGCAATTTACCCTTTATTTTAGCCTAACCCGTTTGGATCTTGATAGAAAGACGTCTCAATTGTCCCTGCGGCTCATTTCCCGCCAAAACAGAAACACCCACTCTTTTCCTCCTCTAACCTCTTCTTCATCCAACAACTGTAGCCTCTTCCCAGCTTCCAACGATCACCAATCACAACTTCCTATAGGACGGAAATAAAACGGGCCTTAGATACAATGAGGGGTGGCCCAGTTCAGATCAATTGGCACGACACCAAACCCGTTTTAACCCTAGATTTTCACCCTCAATCTGGAATCCTAGCCACCGGTGGCGCAGACTACGATATCAAGGTAGAACCCTTAAATGCTTGTAGTCGGTTCAGTTGATTTTCAGTATTTCATGTTCGGTTCTTGGATTTTTTTTCTTTTATTTTTGTAAATAAATGCATATTTGTTATAATTATATATATGGGTTTCGCACAAATTGACTGGGTTTCTTATTTGGAAAAATAAGAATGAAGGTGGTTAGTTTTTGGAGTTTTGAACATTTCTTCCTTTATAATTCATAAATGTATATGCCTCTTTCATTTAACCAAAAAAATTGTCACAAGACAATACTCATTTTGTTCGTGGGCATGTGCACGCGTCTGTGGGTGTGTGTGTGTTAGAAACTAGAAAGAGATCTATCTTCATAAGTAAGATGCACCAATTCAATTAAGTGCTTCGTATCAAAACAAACTTATGGGTGAATAGCTTTTTTATTGTTCTCTGGTTCGTGCATTTTTCTTCATTTGGTAACACTTTGTCTGTTTGCAAAAACACCATGGTAAATTAGGTAACTAAAATATCATTTGATGTTACCTTTGATTTTATCAGCTATCAAATGGAAAATACAATTTCAAGTTCCAAAACCGACTTTTATGTTTAGTTTCTTTTGTCTTTTCCCAACAAAGCTTGAGTAAATTGCTTAACAAATTTGGCAATTTCAGTGTTATCTTCTAAGCTATGCCCTATGCTTTTCTGCAATGAAAATAGGGATGCTTTGACTACACTGTTTGGGACTAATTTTGATTGTGTGACCATTGGTATTTCCAGCTGTGGCTCTTAAGTTCAGGAGTAGTAGAAAAGAAAGTGCCTACAGCTTCTTATCAGAATAGTCTTTCTTACCATGGCTCTGCTGTAAATGTTCTTCGCTTCTCTCCTTCAGGTAAGAATTAAGTTTGTATCTTGAAAAACAAGGGTAGCTTATGTGTAATCTACTTTACTGTGGTAATGTGGTAATCTGATGGAAAAACACGACCCCAACAGAAGTAAAAACTACTCTCTCTCTCTCTCTCTGTGTGTGTGGATGTAGTTATTCTCTTTTCAGTCAGCCACTGAATTGAACATTTCATCTAAACTAAGAATTTCTAGTATCCACCTTTGTTTTGTTTTGAACAAGTATACTTGCGACTTTTCTGTTAAAATAAGGCTAATTATTTTTGAGATTTCAATAGTGGTGTATTTCTGAATCTAAAGCATTCTCATATCAAATCCAAATTCATTTCAACAAGTTACTATATTGTTTTCATAAGTACTGGTCTATTTTATATGTTTCCTACATAGATACATATGTCATCATTTAGCTTGCTCCTACGGGATGTTTAGAGGATACATGTATCAAAATTGTACTATTAGTGGGGCGGCCAAGTGAAATTGTCATCAATCATCATCTTCGGTGCAACTTGTGTGTCAGGATCAGAGGTGCTGTTAATACAGTCCTTGTTTCTGACAAGCAATAAATTGTAGGAGGTTGAAAACAGGAGCAGAACCCATTTGCACTTGAAGCAATGGGCGTATCAAAACTAGTGCCTGGCCAGAAAAGCTAAGCCTAGCAAAAGACAATTCTGCACAATCAAAATAAAAGAGATCTTAGCAGGGACACTCTGGACAAATGTATAGTTAGGCATTTTCTCCCTTAGAGAGCAATCTCTTATATCACTCTCTAAGAATCACTGACTTGGACATGGGACACGGATACGACATGACACTGACACTGACACTCAGAGACAACATTTCTATAAAAAATAAGATACAGACACGTTGGAGACATAATAAAAATAATTGTATGCTACAAATAAAATTATATAATTTGTTGCAAATATGGGGATATAATGATATACTATTTATAAAAAATTTAGTACTTTATGATATGGAAATGTTATGTCTGGTCATCTAGTTTGAATTTTTAGACTAAAAAATTATAATAGTCAACCAATTATAAATTTTTTTTGTAAACATGTACCCAAAATATATAAGTTAAATGAATGGTCTCACTTTCTCAATTCCTCATGTTTAAAATTTCTATATATTTTTTGCTTTTATTATTATATTTGGAGAACAACTTTAACATTTGTAGTGTTGAACATGTCTAGTCATGATAATCATATATTCTATTATAGTATAAGATACTTATTAGTCATATTTTTAAGTTTTGTTAGTCACATGTCAACACATTTTTATTACTCAGTAATAGATACAATCTAAAGAAGTATCAGACATGCCACCAAAGAAGTGTTGGACACATCACCAAAGAAGTGTTGGACATGTGTTCGAAATTAAAATTTTATCATTTAAGTATAGACTCGTATAAAAGAATATTGAACATGTATTCGAGGAGTGTCGGTGTCCGACATAGATTCACCACCTTTTTGAGAGTACCTGTTCTTCATAGATCACTCAGACTAAACACTATAGGAAAGAAAGAGCCACATATGATTACCCTATTCGTAACACAATTAAATAATCAGATTCTCCGCCCTTCTCCAGTTGGACTAAGGTGTCACAGTTGCACCCAAAAAGGGGACAAAAGTAGTCATCATAGGCTAACAATACAATGAAGCAACTAAGCAAAAGATGATTTCAATCTTCTGAGCCGTCTTGCACATACTCACTACTTCGTAAATGATTCGTCCCTTTAACTAAACTTTCATGGGCAGACCCTGTATTGGTGCATGCATTTCTATACATACCTTTAGTGAAGTCTTTTAATTGATTGTAAAAGACTTTAACTAGGTTTGGTTCGAGGATTAATGTAGGGAAGTGACAATGCTATACATCCCAATTGTTTACCAAAAAGCACACCCCAAATGGTGGGAATTGCACATCACTTGGGTTGGCTCATATTTCATCTCATTGAGGGCTCCAATNATTAATGTAGGGAAGTGACAATGCTATACATCCCAATTGTTTACCAAAAAGCACACTCCAAATGGTGGGAATTGCACATCACTTGGGTTGGCTCATATTTCATCTCATTGAGGGCTCCAATTATGCTTTTTGGTAAACAATTTAGGATGCATAACATTACTCTTAATGTAGGGATCTTTCTCTCTTGGATGTCTTCCTATCTATGGATTGATTGATCTCTACAATCTATTATAGAAGTACTTTGACAATTGTTGATATGTTGCTAAATCATACCTCTTTGGGATGCATAACATTACTCTCGATGTTTGTCTTCCTTCCTCTCTATGGATTGATTGCACTCTACAATCTACTATAGAAGCACTCTGACATTTGTTGATATGTTGTTAAATCAGACCTCTTTATGATGAGATTTTTCCTTATAGAAAAGCTTCTCTGAAATTTCTCTAATTGTACAATTATCTAGAACAGTACTAGCAGCGCCCCATACGATTCACAGTATTTTCAATCTCTCCCATCATAATTCTACCACCCCTGCCACTCGTACTCCCACATTTTATTGCCATTGATCTTAATATTCTAGGAAAATTATCTATTATTGTACTAAATTAAAGAAGACGGAATAAAGTAGTTTTGTGGGAGTAGTTACATAAACCACATGGAATGACTTACTTTGATGAGATCAAGGCATTATTATTAAATAATTTAAAATTTTAAAAAATCTAGTACTTAGTGAGGGACAGTTTCATTAGTGACTGTTCTCCTAAATTGATTGCTATAATATGTGGTAAATATAGATTTAGAGCAGAGAGAGTATATGTACGAGAGCGAAACGGGAAAAGGAGTGATGATGGGGGAGAAACTTGGGACAGTTAAGGAATTTTAGGATTTTTCCTATTAATAAGGAATTAAGTTATTCAAAAAGGATCAATGACATAAGTCAAATCAAATTTGAAAATTTAAAAATAAAAAAAATTTAAAAATGGGGATGGGCATTCAAGCCAACTACGTTGCATATGTATAGATATGTTGTCTTCATGTCTTATTTCACACAATTTTCCTTTTAAATTTGCAGGAGAACAACTTGCCTCGGGTGCTGATGGTATGAATCACTTGTTACTTACTAAATGAATGATTGAAATTGTTTCCATTTTATGAAATTAGGCAACGTGTGCTTAAATTGAATTTTGCTAAATATAGGTGGTGAGATGATCATATGGAAGTCACACAATACCGATGCTGGTCAAGCTTGGAAAGTCCTCAAGACATTGTCGTGAGTCCTTTCATTGGGATTTGCTTCTTTTATTACAGATTAGTTGCTAATACTGTGTGCTATGATTGATGTTGGGCTTAGGTTGAATACAAGTGGGGTTTAGAAACTGCCCAATTTAGAACCTAACCACTTGATTTTTTGTTTGTTTATTTGGACCTGACCTATTTATTCGGGGTCAATGTGAAAATAGTCCATCCATTGGCTATAGAATAATAAGTAAATCAAGCATCAAAAGTGGTATTGTTTATGATAACAATGACTGATAATAGTTAATAAATCAAGTTTGTTTTTAGGTTGGTATGGCTCATATTCAAAATCAAGTGATTTGTAATTCTTCTATGATTTGATTCATATGTTTGCAATTACCAAAATTCACTAAACTCTGGACGACCTATGATCTGAGTACATCATTCTAAACATGATGGATTGTGATCCAAATTACCAAAATGTATGATCCCAAATTGTATACGTAGCACAAATATAAAATACATATTAATTAATTGTGTATATAAATTTATAATTATAGATTATTTTAGATAATAGAAATTGAGCACAAACCTAAGACAAATGGTAATTGACTTAATGTTTATGGATGTTATATAATTTATAATGTTGTATAGTGGTAAAAACGATCTAGATAAGAGTTGCAAAATGAACTGCGATCCAAAATAACCTACCCTCATCGTATCATGTACTTAAGAAAGTGTCGTACCACATTCCTGTATCATGAACCAAAGCCACCTACGATTTAGATAACATTGTGTTTGCAAAATTAAAGGGGAGCCTCCACTGCATCAGACATAAAACTCGTTTGACACATCTGCACATATGATTTCAAAAGGGGCTAACGTTTAAGTGCTTTATTTACCGACTCTATCTTCTTGGAAAAAACTTGAAATAGGTTTCTTTAACATGATTGAGATAAAAGAAAAAGTGTCAAAATCTTCATGTTGAATACCCCCAGGCCTGCGAGTATTAGAATCTGCTAAGGGGGTCATTAGATAAGAGTGATAAGAGGAGACTCTAGGCACATGGTCAACTCTGGGTTAGCAAAAATACTTTCATAGAGAAATGGGCATTCTCAAGTTCAAAAGGATTCTATCTAGTCTGGCCTACTGAAATGGTCAAGGATGTGGATGATACCTATTTTTGACATAGAGCAATATTGTTATTATAAGGAAAATAAATGTTCTAATAGTCATGGTTTCTTTATTAATTTGAGAATATTGGGTCATTTATTCATTTTATTGAATGTGGATGTCGATCGTGATGATGATGATAATAATTGCACAAAGCTGTATTGTAGTAATATTAGACTGATTTGTTGGACCTGCAGTGGTATACTGATAGTGTCAGTCTTCTTCCTAGACCAAGAAACTAAGAAGCACAGTCATATCATTTTAGTCAGAGTGGGACATCTGGGACATGGATACGCTAAAATGAGTGTTGAAATTTTTTATTGTTAAATTTTTTTCAAGACACGTGGCTGATACACTTGGGAAACATTGGGAATATGCGACCGACGCGTTGCAGACACGTTTTGAGATTTGTTTTTCAATTTTTGTAGAACTTTTTAGATAACTTTATAATTAAGAGAATTATTTTTGTAATTTTAAAGAGATATGAGTCAAGGTCATAACATAAAAAAACTTATGATCACTACATTGAACATGGAGCGTGAATGTACTCTCTCCGTTCCTAAATATCTGTCGTTTAAGGTTTTTGCACAAGGATTAAGGAAGCTATTAAATAGCTCTAATATGAGTAAAAAATAATTGTACAAGACTAAAGTACCTTTGTTCAATACGTATCGAGAAGGAAAGGAATATGAAAGACACTTAGCCTACATTTAATCTATTAAGCACTTATTGAAAAACATAGATAAGGGTAAATTTGGAAGAAAAAATATTAATTATGCTTTGGTTTCATTAAACGACAAATACTGTGGAACAAAAAAAATTGTGTAAAATGATAGATATTTACGAACGGAGGGAGTAACATAATTTTGGATACGAATACAAACTTATATATATGGGATAAACTTTAAATATGAAAGTTATATGACAACAAATAGGGTTACAAAATTGGGGTTCTTTGAAATTGATTAAAATTAGTATTACGAAGTGTAATATTTTTGAAAATGAAAATTGTAGTAGCCATTGATTGTTGGATCATGGATGTTATGTTTAATGTATATTGGTATATCTTTATTGTATTTTTTATGCGGTGATATCATGATGTGAATTTTGAGCATTAGGGAAAGGATGAATTAAAATATTATTATGATAATAATTTTATTTTATCACATGATTATATATATAAATACATTATTTAACGTCTTTTCAACGTGTTCGTGTCCTATTGTTTTGTACAATTTTATGTCAGTGTATCTGTGTTTTGTTGTATTCATGTCCTGTATTTGTATCCGTGCTTGAAATAGTTTTTGCAGCATATGGGATGTTAACTACAACCACAATAACAGTGATAGCAACATTGGTAACTAACGTTATAAGTTATTTTTGAGTCCTATATTCATCAATTAGCTTTTGTTACTCAGGTTCCACCGTAAGGATGTGTTGGACCTGGAGTGGTCTCCTGATGGTGCATTTCTCATTTCCGGATCAGTGGATAATTCTTGCATTATATGGGACCTTAACAAGGGTAAATAGACTGTGTGTAGCTATAGCATATTTTTCAAGATTTGATGTCAATTCATAACCTGATAGTCTGTGTTTCTTCCTTCAGGCTCTGTCCATCAGATCTTAGATGCTCATTTCCATTATGTTCAAGGTGTGGCATGGGATCCACTGGCGAAGTATGTGGCTTCACTAAGTTCAGATAGAACCTGTCGGGTTTATGTCAACAAGCCTCAAACTAAAACAAAAATGATTGAGAAAATGAATTATGTTTGTCAGCATGTCATTACAAAGGTGGATCCTCAAATGGTGGATGCGTCCAAGGTTAGAAGTTTGGTTTATCTGCTTCAGATATCATGCATTATGGATAGATTCAGTGAGTATAATACGCTTCACTTGTGGCATGATATGCAGTCTGCTAAAAACCATCTTTTTCATGATGAGACATTACCATCTTTCTTCCGAAGATTAACCTGGTCACCTGATGGATCATTTTTACTTGTGCCAGCAGGTATTATTGTAAAGTGCTATCCTGTTTTATCAGCGAATCTATAACTTCAATTTTCCTTTTTCAAGTGTCTGATTGCCTGGTATATTGTGTACTAATAGAATTTGATGTTGCTTCATGGCATCGTCTATCTGATTCTGTCGCTGATTATTGTTAGCCACTGTTGGTGCTGATGAATATTTCAATTACGGCTGTGGAACGATTCTTGTATCTTTTAAGTTCGTTTGAGACCTTAAATGTAATGTAATTTTCCATTGCTTGCTGTGTGTTGAAGGGTTTGGTCTTTGCCATGTTAGGAGTTTGAGGAGTATTTATGTCATGACCTTTGGTGCCATGCTTCAGAGTCATTGGTACTATGACATTTTTTCCTTCTGTGTTGTGGACTACTGCCTCAGAACTCAGACACATGAGACTGGTGGACATTTTGTTAATACAAGTATAAAAAGTGATGTATGATTGACTGTGACTAAGAGATGCAAACCACCTCCCTCTTGATGTGGTCTAGATATACTTCACTCTTTCACTAAAATAAAATTAGTGGTGGGAAGAAGAGATGCCCAGGGAATGGATCACCTTAGCATATTTTGTCATTTATCTCACGAGTGTTGGTTCGACTGTGCAAACATGTTCAGTTTCATTGTCGTACTTTGGAACTACTGGAGTAATGCATTCTATAATTTATTTATGAGACCGATCCTCTCATAAATCCAATTGGCTGCTTTTTCGGTTTGCTCTATTTTAATCAAATTGTTTCCAGCTTTCTATATGTGATTAATGCTTTTTCCTCAGTTGTTTTTTCTTCAAGGGCATGGCTTTATCAAATCCTCCTGTCTGTTGACGTAAACATATGTCTAATTTCAGGTTCTTACAAACTTTCACCTTCATCTGATCCAGTAAACACAACTTATGTTATTTCCAGAAAGGATCTTTCAAGGCAAGGCATTTTCTTCTAGTATCTCTTTGCTTAGTTATAAGCTCCATTTCATTCATTTAACAAAGTCCTCATCAATAATCATTGAGGAAATGAAAATGATTTTCCTGATGCTTAAAATCAGCTAAATAACACTCGAATCTCCTCAAAATACTTCCCACCGTGCCAAAATAAAAAGAGTCCAGCTTTGAGGGAGTATTTTGTATCTCTGTGAGGGAGTATGTTGTATCTCTTGTTGTCTGGCTTCCATTGATCATCACATTCTTTCAAATATGCAGGCCTGCTCTGTTGCTTCCTGGTGCCAGCAAACCTGTTGTTGTAGTACGCTTCTGCCCTGTGGCTTTTAGCCTGCGGGGATCAACCTCATGTACTTTCATGCTAATTACAGTCAGTTTTTCAGGATGTTTTGATAAATGGATTCACCATAATTTGACGTGCATTTACAATTTTGTGTTGGTGCAGCTGCATTTTTCAAGCTGCCTTATCGCCTTGTTTTTGCAGTGGCAACGTTGAACTCTTTGTATGTCTATGATACAGAGAGTGTTCAACCGGTTGCAATTTTAGCTGGACTTCATTATGCAGCCGTTAGTGACATTGCATGGTAAATAATGGCATTCATTATATTGTAATATGCTTCTACTGCTGTATCGCCTATGCCTTTTTTAACGGTTTAAGAACTCTTTTCCTTGGATCTTGACTGGTTACTGTTATTCTTATTGTTCATGTAAGGTCACCGGCTGGTAGATATCTAGCAGTGTCCTCTCAAGATGGTTACTGCACTCTAGTGGAATTTGAGGATGATGAACTGGGATCACCTGTTCCGTTATCAGGTACACTTCTGTTGGTCTATCTTTACGCAATCAACCAACAGGGATACCTTCTTCAAATTTTTATGTTTCAATCTTCTCAGAAGAAAAGAAAGTCATGGGTGATGATAGTAAGAGCCCTGCTCAGAAACCAAAGGATATGGAGATTGAAGCAACTACAAACAGAAATGACAATGTTGATGTGGAAGCAGAAAATAAGGAAATGAAACAAGCAACACCAAGTTTAGTGAACACTCCTCTACTGAATAACCCTGCCAAGAGACGTATTACTCCGATGGCCATTGATTCACAATAATTCTCTTGCCTCAGTAATACTCCCGTCCTAATTAGCTTGCTGGCAGATGTATTCCTCCAAGAGTTGGTGACTGGGAAGTTTCTCACCTTTGTAAATTTTCGATGGTCCACATATCAAAATCCAATTTCTGAGTTTATCAACCATTTGTGGCTTTTCCTCAAATGATAGTTTTTTATGAAGTTTGTATCAAGAAAAGAAGGCAGAGTATATCCTCTCTTCTCTCTATATTTTGAAATTCCTGCTTCTGCAAGGCAATGTAAAAGCCCGGATCAGCTAGCTCTCCACCAGTATCATTTTAACAGGGCTCCTCAAAGATTGTCAATAACTGATGATATTTTTTTAGTTATTAACATTTATCAGTGAAAAATTTTACAATCCTGTTGAATTTGTGTTATCATCCTTTGCAATGGTAAGTATTCAAAGAGGTTTGAACTAGGAATAGAAAAACATTTGCATGCCTAAAATCATATTAGAGTTTTTGCTAAGGGGACAAAACAGGTTGGGACAAATTATGATTGAATTTGTGCTGAAAAGTGGAATTCACGAAACATATCAAAGTCATCTACTCCTTTGTAGCACGCCCAATTCAGATCATGTATCATGTATAGTTAAATTCGTAATAGGCATATTAGATTCGGTTTGATTTGATTTATTTTTAAATGGGTGTAATTGATCAACAATAAGTAACTCCATGTTAAGTTAACATGTTCTATTAAAAATTTGTCAATCTAGATATGACTATACCAAAGAACGGGTGATGGGTCAAATTTCTGCTACGTTAGGATGGGGACAAGAGTCCTTCTTGTGTCTACCTATTTTGATTAGGAAAAACAAGAAAAAAACAATTGGTTGATAAGGAAATAGACAATTAGATGATAAAGGAAATAAAATGTTGGTTTGCTTCGAGGGAAACAGCCTCCACAAGAGAACAATTAGAAAAAAATTCAGCATGCTTCTTTATTTCCATAAAACTCATATTTATAGACCCATTATAGCAAAACTACTTTCCTACAAATTAGCAATGCTCTTATAAAATAGAAACAAGATCAAACCAACCAAGCAATACTCCTAGAAAGAGTAATGCTACATTGACCAAATTTTAAGACTAAATCAATAATTTAAATGACATGGTAACTGATTATTTGGAGTCTTTATTGAAACCTAAATGATATGACATTAAATAAAGAAATCCAAATCAGCTGTCATGTCATTTGGNAAATAGAAACAAGATCAAACCAACCAAGCAATACTCCTAGAAAGAGTAATGCTACACTGACCAAATTTTAAGACTAAATCAATAATTTAAATGACATGGTAACTGATTATTTGAAGTCTTTATTGAAACCTAAATGATATGACATTAAATAAAGAAATCCAAATCAGCTGTCATGTCATTTGGACTCTTAATTTGGTCCCAACATTTTGTCAGTGTAGTATTACTGTCCTAGAAATTAAAAACAACTCCAACAAGACTTGGTAAACATAGAAAACATCAACTACAATTCTTATTTTATCTCTTACCACTAACTAGGGGTGTTAATCGAGCTGAATTCTAGTCTAAATCGAGCTGAATTTACACACAAACTAGCTGGCTCGTTTGACTGTTTACACATAAATGAGTTTTAAAATATGTTAAAGCTTGACTTGTTTAACAGCACTATCACTAACCAAGACCCAATTGCCCTGCACATGGGACTTCAACGTAACAACTCCCCCCTCCCCCCTCTCTAAGTTTTGAAATTTGTCGTCGAGGTCCAATGTCGGGTACCGAACTGTCATTTTCTTGGCACCTTCCCAAGTAGCTTCAGCAGGCGAAAGACCTTCCCAATAGATCAATAACTCTTCTAATTTCCTCCTCACTTGAGGGTCCAAAACAGCTTGAGGGATTGGAAAAAACAAGTTACCCTGTTCTTGAATTGAAGGGAGCGCTGACTGCACCATTATACTTGCTTCAAATTTTCTCTTGAGGGCGGAGAAATGAAAGACAGGATAAATACGAGACTTTTCTTGTAGTTCCAGCTTATAGGCTATTTGTCCTATCCTTTGAACCACTTTAAATGGACCATAGAACTTGGGCGAGAGCTTGACTTTCTTGTGAAAAGAAAACAATGATTGACATTACGGTTGAAGCCTTAAATAAACCCAATCTCCTTTAAATTATATGTCAACATGATGCTGGTCATATATTCTCTTCATGTGAGATTGAGATTCCTTGAGTCTTTCTTGTGGCTCACGGATAGCTTAGTCTCGATCCTCTAGCTCCTTGTCCACATATTCCAATTTCGTTGTTCCGGGCACATAAGATAATAACATAGGAGCGGCCTAACCATAAACAATCTCAAATGGAGTTCTTTTAAAGGACGAATGGAGGCTAGTGTTGTAACAAAATTCTACCAAAGGAATCCATTGCACCCAATCAGATAGTTTGGAGCTAGTGAAACATCGCAAGTACATTTAAAGAATATTATTAACCACTTCCGTTTGTCCATCAGTTTGAGGATGCTAGGACAAGCTAAACTTGAAATCAGTCCCATTTAATTGAAACAATGCTTTCCAAAAAACACTAGTAAGTATTGGATTCCGATCGCAAACGATAGACTGCGGCAAGCCATGCAACTTAAATATTTGATCAAAGAACACTTGAGCGACACATGCTGCTGTATATGGATGTGATATTGAAATGAAATGTGCGTACTTAGACAACCTGTCCACCCCAACCAAGATGATCAATTTTCCCTTGGACATTGGAAGACTATCTATGAAATCCATGGATATATCGGCCCAAATTTGTGTTAGAATTGGCAACGGTTGAAGTAAACCAACTGAAGACACATTCTCTACCTTGTTTTGTTGACATACATCACACTACTTAATAAACTCCATGATGCTTTGACGTATTCTCTTCCAATAAAAATTGTTACACACCCGATGCAAAGTTTTATGAAATCCTTCATGAGTGCGAGAGTGAATCTCCAGAATAATGGTGGAAATTAGCGAAGAATCTTCTCTTAAGTTGATTCTATTCTTGAAAAATAGAATGCCTTCTCTGCATTCCCAAGGACCCACAGCCCCCCCATGTTCACACAACTTGATCAATTATTGTGTTAATTGATGGGTTTGGGTCTCTTCTTTGATGGGCTCAAGCCAACTGGGTAATGGCCGGGAAGCGGCTGAGAGCTCACCTAGCTCTACTTTTCTTGATAAAGCATCTGCCACCACATTTTCCTTCCCGTGCTTGTATTTGATAGCAAAGTCATATCCCGTTAATTTTGGAAGCCACCGTTGTTGTGCTTCGGTAGTAATTCGTTACTCTCCTAAGTATTTCAAGCTACGTTGGTCAGTCCTTACGATAAATCGATGACCCAAGAGATATGGTCTCCATTTCTTGACTGCCAATACCAGGGCTAGCATTTCTTTTTCATAAGATGACAATGCTAGGTTCTTACCATGCAAGTCTTTGCTGAAATATGCAATTTGGCGCTGAGATTGTAATAGAACAGCCCCTACTCCAGATCCTAATGCATCACACTCCACCACAAATGGTTGGGGAAAATCGGGAAGTGCTAGAACAGGTGATCTGGTCATGGCTCTTTTTAGCAGTTCAAAAGCTTCTTCCGCCACAGAATTCCATGAAAAGAATCCTTCTTTAACAAGGAAGTGAGAGGGCTCACGATCATTTCATAATCTTGAACAAACTTTCGATAGTAACCCGTCAATCCAAGGAAACCCCGGTGAGCCTTGAGAGTTGTGGGCTTTGGCCATTTTAGCATCGCAGCCACCTTATTTGGGTCTACGTTAGCCCCTCCCTTGTTATCACATGCCCAAGATAACTAATTTTCTCATGCCCAAATTGACACTTTTCTTTTTTCACAAAAAGTTGGTGAGTTCTTAATATCGACAGNATAGTAACCCGTCAATCCAAGGAAACCCCGGTGAGCCTTGAGAGTTGTGGGCTTTGGCCATTTTAGCATCGCAGCCACCTTATTTGGGTCTACGTTAGCCCCTCCCTTGATATCACATGCCCAAGATAACTAATTTTCTCATGCCCAAATTGACACTTTTCTTTTTTCACAAAACGTTGGTGAGTTCTTAATATCGACGGAGTGATCTCAATGTGGAGTAAATGGTCCTCCCAAGATTTGTTATAAATTAAAATAACATCAAAGAAAACCAATATAAACTCACAATGTCTTAAAAATTTCATTAATGAGTGATCGAAATGTTGAAGGTGCATTGGTTAGCCCAAATGGCATCACAAGAAACTCGTAATGGCCTGGNAATGTCTTAAAAATTTCATTAATGAGTGATCGAAATGTTGAAGGTGCATTGGTTAGTTCAAATGGCATCACAAAAAACTCGTAATGGCCTTGATGGGTTCGAAAAGCTGTCTTTAGAATGTCCCTTTTTTTTTTTAATTTCTCTACAAATAGTTTCATCATTGGTCAACTTGTNGATGGGTTCGAAAAGCTGTCTTTAGAATGTCCCTTTTTTTTTTTAATTTCTCTACAAATAGTTTCATCATTGGTCAACTTGTTATATGGAGATGCCAATCCTTGAAGACCCACCTTTTGACCATTCACTTTAAACTTCATCAATAGCTTGGAGAAGTCACAAACTATGGGTCCCAAAGTCTGCAACCAGTGAGCCCCTAAAACAACATCGCAACCTTCTAAAGGTAAGAGATAAAGGTCAATTGAGATTGGAATACCATGTAGTAGCATATTTATTACCTTGCATTTTCCTGTGCTCGTTAACTTATCTCCATTAGCCACGATGACTTCGAAATGCCCATCTTCTTGAGGTTACAACCCAATCTTTTTAGCAATTTTGTCGCTTAAAAAGTTATGGGTGCTACCCAAATCCACCAACACCATGATAGTTTGGCAGCCAACTCGTCCCTTCAGGCACATAGTTTGGGGTGTTTGCACATCAGAGATGGCGCTGAACGAGATTTCTGGAGTGTTATCACTCTCTTCCTCTCCTTCTTGGTCAGCTTGCTCATCCACTTCTTGCTCACAAACTTCTTCAGGCCAACATCCTTCTATAAGGAAAAGTCTCTTGCAGCGATGACTCGGTCCAAACTTTTCATCGTAGTGGAAACACAGCCCCTTAGCACGTCTATCATTAATTTCTGCATGAGTGATCTTCTTAATATTAGGCGATTGGTTACGCTGAAGGTTAGATTGAGAGTGGTCGACAATCGACTTATTTGCTTCATANGTGATCTTCTTAATATTAGGCGATTGGTTACGCTGAAGGTTAGATTGAGAGTGGTCGACAATCGACTTATTTGCTTCATATTGAGGAACCTTTCATTGAGATTGAAGTTTTGCCTCATGGAGATGAGCCAATCCCACTGCTGCAGAGAGGTTCGCTGGTCACGCAGCTTGGAAATCAACTCGGATCCCGTCTTTGAGGCCGCTNTCACGCAGCTTGGAAATCAACTCGGATCCCGTCTTTGAGGCCGCTGATAAAGCAGCTCATTTACTGCGAAGGAGTAATTTTCCATGCTCGCCCAAGCAACCTTTCAAATTGGCTTTGATAATCTCTAACAAAGCCAACTTGTTTAAGATTGGTAAGATCCCCAAAAAAGTCTTCAGATTGGGTAGCTCCATAACACACATGCAGTCCGTCCTTAATTGAATCCCAAGTGATCTCCACTCCATCATCCTTAAATAGTTGGTACCATAATTGGACTTCTCCTTTTAAGTGGTATGCAGCTAATGACACCTTCTCTGACTGGTGTATGTTGGAATTCGAAGAACTGCTCCGCCCTAAAAATTCAACTGCTTGGGTCTTCACTTCTACTTTAACGGGGGAAATCGAGCTTAACAAGCTTTGGTAGATCCAAATTGGTTGAACTTGTTTGGCCAGAACCAGGTTGTCCATTAAGTTTGCCTACCCAATTTCGATTAATAGAGTTATCCCCAGACTCACGAACATGGTTCGATTCAAGTTGATCTAACCGAGAGTTCATAGCCAGGAACATATCATGTAGTTCCTTTAACAATTTCTCTTGCGCAAAAGCCAATGATCCAACTTGTACTTCGAGANATAATTGGACTTCTCCTTTTAAGTGGTATGCAGCTAATGACACCTTCTCTGACTGGTGTATGTTGGAATTCGAAGAACTGCTCCGCCCTAAAAATTCAACTGCTTGGGTCTTCACTTCTACTTTAACGGGGGAAATCAAGCTTAACAAGCTTTGGTAGATCCAAATTGGTTGAACTTGTTTGGCCAGAACCAGGTTGTCCATTAAGTTTTCCTACCCAATTTCGATTAATAGAGTTATCCCCAGACTCACGAACATGGTTCGATTCAAGTTGATCAAACCGAGAGTTCATAGCCAGGAACATATCATGTAGTTCCTTTAACAATTTCTCTTGCGCAAAAGCCAATGATCCAACTTGTACCTCGATATTAGGAATTTGTTGATCCTCCATGACATGCTCTGATACCAATTTGTTATGTTCTTTGGTTAAAAATGGGTGATGGGTCTAGATTAGGAAAAAACCAATAAGAATACAATTAGTTGATAAGGAAATAGAATTTTGGTTTGCTTCAAGGGAACCAGCCTCCACAAGAAAACAATTAGATGGAATTTAGCACGCCTCTTTATTTCCATAAAACTCATATTTATAGACCCATTAGAGCTGAACTACTTTCCTACAAATTATCAATCTATATAATTGTAGGTATGGAGTTAAAAGAGGTTGACACATGTGTCTATGCCAAGGAAAATCGAAGAGGGTGAATAGGATAAGTGGATGGGATGGAAGGAACTCGAGCAGCTTGTTAACGAAGGGACGAACCAGTTGGACAGAGGGTAGCTGAAAAATACTCTCATCAGGCAGAAAACCATCCCTGTTGTGGGCAAATAATGTAGATATTTATAGCACAGTGCTCAGGCAAGTTTGGGCAGCCCACCGCGACCCCCTACCACTGGGGCCAATTCACAACTGCCTCGACCTAGATGATACCAGTGGCCATTAACAGCGAGCCATGCATCCCGACATTAACTAGGCAGATGTAATGTTTCTCCAAATGCAACCTGGACGTGGCCTCGAGGAAGGTGTGATAGCCAAGGTGAGAGAGGGCTCCCAGCGTCCATGACCGTGACTAGTCACTATGGGATCATGACCTCGAGAGGACCATGCCCGTGATTCCCTTAACGTACTCTTACCCGGGGTCTTTCTTTCCCTTTCTAGACCCTTCCTCAAGGTCTTTGTAGNTCACCATGGGATCATGACCTCGAAAGGACCATGCCCGTGATTCCCTTAACGTACTCTTACCCGGGGTCTTTCTTTCCCTTTCTAGACCCTTCCTCGAGGTCTTTGTAGAGGTGTCCAATAGAGGAAACTCACATAGTTTTGGTCATTCAGCCACCAATCCACATGTCCTATCATCTCATATGTCGATCCAGACCAATAACCCTATTTACCTTAGGAGTCTCTTCGGATCCCAGTCAAACATATCCCAGTGGGCAGCCATACACTAGGAGGCCTATTTGAGCAAACTGAACCTTCGAGACCCTGCCCTAGGCCAAGGTTAACAATCGTGCTTATTCGCCCCTATTGTTCAATTCTCTCTTGAAGATGACCATTCTCCTATGTGCCTAGGTGGGGACACCTTTTAGTCTAGTGGGTCAGTCGAACAATGACATTTAATAGGTTGATGATACCATTTTCGCAGCAGAGGAAGTGAGTCTTGCCGAGGTTGTCCCCATACTTCTGCAATTCCATTTATGTCTAACCTTGGTGAAAGGTCCATTTTGCCACTTTCGATGCGATGGAGATATATCTCACCCTGATGTGGTATTGTGCTTGAGGACGTTGTGCCAAAGGGTGTCGCACTTGTCACTGTTATCTATATCAGTCCAGCTAAACTCTGTTTAACATCATTTTCATATCAACTGATAATTGTTGTCACTTGTCCTGNGGGTGTCGCACTTGTCACTGTTATCTATATCAGTCCAGCTGAACTTTGTTTAACATCATTTTCATATCAACTGATAATTGTTGTCACTTGTCCTGTTATGGTAAAGACATGTGTCTTGAGTTTTTTCGAGTACTACATTTGCCCCCTGCGCGCGTCAAATTGTAATAAGCGTCCTGCGTGTGCACACCATTTTTTGTTTGCTCTTGTTGTTTGACTGTAATTATCGTCTGTGAGCTAACCGTGGTGCTGATGACTAAATTTTTTTCGTAAAATTATCCCAAGTCTTCTGTTGTCATTTCTCTATTGCCAAAAATATTGTCATGGCTAGTTGCCCCTTGCATGCATAGACCTTCTTTTGATAGACTTTGCATGCATAATGGTCACGAGAACATGTGTATTTTTGTCCTTGTGAAATTTTTTTTTTGAATCTTTGTACCACTACGGATAAGAAACCTTGACTACTATTGAGCCCCGAAAATCTCCAATAAAATGACTCATTATTATCCTGGAAAATCTTAACTTTCGACCATCTCAAAAATCATAATAAATCAGTACCTCAAAAAAAACTCCAACAATTAGTCACCGCTAACTATACCGATGCCAAAATCCTTTCCCTTGCCGAAATACTATAATATATTCATAAAGTGATTGCCCATCGCTTGAAAAAAAAAAAGCTAAAGCCACGAGACTTGCACAAAGCTTTTTGCATATTACATGTATTCCTTTTCCTAATAAACACATGGGGTCCACATGTTTTTTATGAAAGTGTTCCACTGAGCCTTCCCCCC